TTTTGTACATATATTAACAATTAATTTTTACTTACCCAACCTAATTAGCTAATCCAATACCAACATAACTTAAATTTCACAATCCATTCTTTATTCAAAATTTCCAAACCCAATTTTCACTACTCAGCCCAACCCAATTTTTTTTTTTTGTGAATCTAATATCCTTATTTCCTAAACTTAATTGCCCAAATTCACAATTTACAGCCTAGCCCAATTTACATATAACCTAGCTGCCTAGCAAAGACATTTTACATTTTTACTTTCAGCCGAATCAGCCCCCTTTTTTGCTTGCTGCTTCTGCCTTCTTGCAAATTCTGAATTAGGGATTTCCCAATTCCCACTCCTCTCTCGCAGTCTCGCCTCTCGGAGTCTCAGTCAACTTTCCTCTCGGAACTCTCCTCTAATCCTTTGTCACCCTCACACTCTTCACTCTCACTCATGCTCAAACTCAGCCCTCATCTCCAGATTCTCCACAGCCCGCTGTGAATCGGACCAATCGGTGCTTCCCTTCACTCCTTCAACTCTCACATCTCACCGACTCTGCAACTCACCGTGCCTACTCTACTCTCTCGGTCGACTCACCTTCACAACGATACCCTTCAACTCTCGACCTCTCACGGACAGATGGACTCACGGTGCCATCACTACAGCCCTTGGCCCTTTGCTGCCTTGCAAACCGCTCACCTCCAACTAAGACGGACTCACGGTGCCATCACTACAGCCCTTGGCCCCTTGCTGCCCTGCAAACTGCTCACCTCCAGCTGAAAGGCTGCTATTGGGTCGACTCAGCCAGCCTCTCACCGTGGCACCCTACCATCAGCCCGTCACTGCAAGTCAGCACTGCTCACCTCCAGCTCCTCCAAGGCTGGGTCGTCCTCTTTCTCTTTCAGGTGGCTTCCTCCTCTGCAGCTTTGCCTCAGATTCATTTCAAACTCTCCAACTCTAGGTATTGCTTTGTGCTTTGCTTTAGTGATTCTAACTAGTATAATTTAATTTTTGTGCTTGAGTGCTTTAGTGTTTCTAACTAGTAATTTTTGTATTTTTAATTAGTAATTTTTAATTTAATTTTTGTATTTTAGTGCTTGAGTATTTTTAACTAGGAGGGTATACCAAAGTGGGGGTGCATAATAACGCTTGACTATAGTAATTTTTAATTTAATTCATTTTTAGGTATCAATTGGCCAATGTCTTCACAAGAGCCTAACCCCCCATTGATTCAAATTCCAAATGAATCAAGTGCAAGTATTATACCGAATGCTGTTGCCACACCAACTTCATCCTCGGCTATGGTTCCTCTTCCTCTTGCATTAGAAAGTGGTACTGGTGAAGATAAAAAAGATGATCAAGGAC